ACTCGCGCATGAGTGAGATCATCGCGCGGGTCGTATGCGCGCTCACAGACAGCCTGGGATGCGGCGGTAGGGGTCACGTGGAAGCATCTGTGAAAACTAGACTGTCAAAATTCGGCGGCGAAGAAAACACCCAATCCTTTACAAAAATGCCTCGGAAGTGCCTCCGCCCTCAGTAAAGATGGCGGTAGGCCCACATAAGGGAGGCGGGGCTGCGCCTGCGCAACAAGTTCGGCGGGGAAGATGGCGGATGACAAGGTGAGTGAACGTGGGGGTGATCCTTAATTTTTTAAGATTGTCTTTAGACTCCATGGCTCTGTAGTTTTGGGGAAAGGCGACACTGGAATGTCTCAGAGATGGGGTGCCTCTTGTTTTCCCTGGGACTCTATCGACTACCTCAACAGGGAGGGGTGGCATGGGGGTAGTTTTAGGGAAGGCGGGCGGAGTCGGGGATCCCCCAGCAGTCCCCTCCCGAATACCATCATGATCCCCAGTTACTAGCACACACTCAAACACACTTACCCCGGAATGCTCCTCACTCTGCCTCATTCCCTAGCCCCCCAAATTCCCCTTCCAGAGATAGCGTTTCCAATCCACACGAACGGCACCCTCAAACACTTTTCTTGTGCACACACTGAATTTTATACTTACATGTGATCAGAATTATTCGTCGTTTATGCATACTCTTTCTGACATTCATTATCTCTCATATCCAGTTACTCCATTTAGGTTGAGATGCTCTCAGAAACAGGGATACAGTCCAGGCAGAAATCGGGTTTACCCTCAAATTGTCCAGGGGGCGGCTTCAAGCTATTATTCTCCTTTGGTCTGGAAGCCCAGCATCAGTCACATTCACCAAGTGCCTGCCAGTCCCACTACCAGGCATTTTACAACAGACAAGAAAGACTGATCACCACTTTCGGGGAGTTCTTGGTTCAGTCAGTAGTTATTTGCTCATAGACCTAATTGAAGGTTCCTTCTGTCTTTCCTGCACACTGATTGCTATATTAGATTCCTGTAGTGATTATTACAAGTTACTGATACTGATTTCATCTGTCACCCCCTCCCTGGCCCCATGTAACTCTGCTTTTCAATGCCTTTCTGCCTTTACCACTGCCATCTCAGGAAGGTTTTATAGAAAGATATCTCTGGCTCACCCCATTCCTCCCAACTCCCAGTTTCTGATAGAATTGAACAGGGAATGGGGCTGAGTCAGTCTGCTGGAGCCAGCCTCTCCCTTGTCCTAGGATTCTCTGCCCAAGCTTAAGGACCTGGCATTTCTCAAGAACCAGCTGGAACGCCTGCAACAGCGAGTGGAAGACGAAGTCAGCAGTGGTGTGGGCCAGGTAGGAGTTGTCCTCCTGCCTCTCACCTTAATCTTCATTGTCCAATTTTCTCTTGAGAATGTTGAGTGAGTGGCAGAGATTTATTCAGCAAATGGTTATTGAGGGCCAGTTCTCAGTTCCCCAGGAAAATTTCCCTGAGAAAATAGCACTTGACCTGAGATCTTAAGTAGTGGTTAACTAGGTGAAGTGGAGAGGAATGAAAACTCCAAACATATGCAGAGTAGTATTATGTACAAGAGAGGGAAAGGAGGTTGGTTCTGCTGCAGTAGTGGGAAAATATGCTAGAAAATGAGACTGGAGAAATAGCAGGGCTCAGACTGCTCAGGGGCATCTCTGACATTTTAGCAGGAAGATTCTGTGGTTGGAGTTTTCTGACTTCAGGATTCTGATATTGTGTGATCAGGACTCCTGAGTTTTTTTTTTGTTGTTTTTTTTTTTTTTTTCTTTTTTGAGCTCCAGAACCTTGAGAAAAATCTTTGAAGAAAATGCTACAGCTGTAGAGAGTGACCCTCACTTGAGTAGTTCCTGGGCAGAGAAGAGGGAAAACCTGCCTGAGTTTCCTTCTTCATTTTTCTCTGCAGGATGGCTCGCTTTTGTCCTCCCCGTTCCTCAAAGGATTCCTGGCTGGCTATGTGGTGGCCAAACTGAGGGCATCGGCAGTACTGGGCTTTGCAGTTGGCACCTTCACTGGCATCTATGCAGCTCAGGCATATGCTGTGCCCAACGTGGAGAAGACACTGAGGGACTACTTTCGGTCACTGCGCAAGGGGCCTGACTAGCTCTAGATCCTATGGGGGAAGCAGGATGAACAGCTGGGGCCTACAGGTGGAGGCCTTTCGAACACAGACACACTATCTAGCTTCCCTGGCTGTCATCTACTTACTGTCTCCACCTGTCCTTCATCTTAGCTTCTCTTCCTGCAGAGGGTGCACAGTGGCTTGTCGGACTGTAACCTGGACTCCTTCCCTCCCCAGCTCCATGAGACTGGCCCCAAGACCATGCTTCATCAGCCCCTTCCTCTTCCAGCCCTAACTGTGGAGTGTACAGATGACTCTGATCCTCAGTATTCTCTCTGGCAATGTACCAGCTCCTCCTGGGAGCTGGCTTCATAACTTAATATCCCTTAAATGTGCCCCAGTTCCTCTGCCACTTGCTAGTTACATAGGCAACCAGGATCTGATGAGGGCATGAGTGTAGAGGAAGGTGGTATGCCAGGCCTGGGCCGTCCTAGGCAGGCCCGCTGGACCCTGATGCTCCTCCTATCCACTGCCATGTATGGTGCCCATGCCCCACTGCTGGCGCTGTGCCATGTGGATGGGCGAGTGCCCTTTCGGCCCTCCTCAGCTGTGCTGCTCACTGAGCTGACCAAGTTACTGTTGTGCGCCTTCTCTCTCCTTGTGGGCTGGCAAGCATGGCCCCGAGGGGCCCCACCCTGGCGCCAAGCTGCTCCTTTTGCACTATCTGCCCTGCTCTATGGCGCCAACAACAACCTGGTGATCTATCTACAGCGTTACATGGACCCCAGCACCTACCAGGTGCTGAGCAATCTCAAGATTGGAAGCACAGCCCTATTCTACTGCCTCTGTCTCCGGCACCGCCTCTCTGCACGCCAGGGTTTGGCACTGCTGCTGCTGATGGCTGCAGGGGCCTGCTATGCAGCAGGTGGCCTTCAGGACCCTGGGAACACCCTTCCTGGGCCTCTAGCAGCTGCTGCCAGCCCCATGCCCCTGCATATCACTCCACTGGGACTGCTGCTGCTCATCCTGTACTGTCTCATCTCAGGCTTGTCGTCTGTATACACAGAGCTGCTCATGAAGCGACAACGTCTGCCCCTCGCACTTCAAAACCTCTTCCTCTACACTTTTGGTGTGCTCCTGAACCTTGGTCTGCATGCAGGTGGTGGTTCTGGCCCAGGCCTCCTGGAGGGTTTCTCAGGATGGGCAGCACTTGTGGTGCTGAGCCAAGCACTAAATGGACTGCTCATGTCCGCTGTCATGAAGCATGGCAGCAGCATCACGCGCCTTTTTGTTGTGTCCTGCTCATTAGTGGTCAATGCCATGCTTTCAGCAGCCCTGCTACGGCTGCAACTCACAGCTACATTCTTCCTGGCCACACTGCTCATTGGCCTGGCTGTGCGCCTGTATTATGGTAGTCACTAGCCCCTGGCCACCTTGCTTGCTTCTGATTCTATAGATTGGGCACCACCACCAGAGTCATCTCTCAAACTTCTTCCTTTCCTCCCCTTAGCAACTGTAATAAGTGCCTTGTGAGAAAAGCTGGAGAAGGGAGAGCAACCAAGTTAGTCTTGAAGTGGTGTATGAAGGAGGCTTCTAGGAGACATGAAGAGTAGATTTGGTTAAGGAAACTTAACTTCCCCACCCACCCCCAAGTTCTTCCAAACTAAAGAATTGGGAGCATCAATACCTAGGCCTGAAAAATAACTCCATTCCTGATGGGGAAGGCTCCCTGCCTCATCTTCCATAAACACAAAATGAGATATGGGTGACAGGTGGCTTTCCTTGCCCACTGTGGTCACCCCAATATACCCACTACCCAGGCCTGGTGTTGGTGCTCAAGCCCCGCCTTGGTGCATGACTTCTTCATAAGGGACACTCACACCCAACAGTCATGCAGGAAGGCCCAATTGCTACAAATTATATAGCTGTCACCTAGGCCACTCTGCCAAGGTCCCTCAGCTCCAGCACTGCCTGGAGATATATCCCCTACCCCTCCACAGTGCTGCTTCCCTTACCCAGCCTTTGTTCTGGAAACCCCACAGAGGGCTGGGGCTTGACTCATCTCAGGGAATGTTGCCCCTGGATCCTGGCTTAAACCTATACTCCTAACCCCTTTGCTCACCCAAGGGCCCTATTGAAGCCCACTGCCACCTCTAAGGCTCTTAGGAGGTAGCCTCTTTCCCACTCTGAGTCCTATCCCTGCCTAGTAGTGTCCCAGCTCCCAACAGCCTGGGAAAGCTCTGCACAGATTGACCTGGGACCAGGTACAGAAACTTCTATAGCTTAATCAATGTCTCTTTTAACTGCATAAGCAATAAGGTCTTAATAAAGTGTTCTAGGATGTAGGGTGCTTCCTACAACCAGTCAATATTGTCTTGTGTCTTCTATGCTGCACAGTTCCCCTCAAACATAATTGTCCCTTGGTCTCCTGAGTATCTTAATTCTGGAGTAACTTCTGGGCTAAGAGGACAAGTGGTTTTCTCCAAGCTGTTGCTGTGGATCTGAGGTATTCTCTGTCACAGACTTTGAAATTTCCCTTAAGCACAAAACTTGGGCCCTGGAGAATTTAGAGAGTCTTGGAAACAGAAGGTACTGAGCCCAGCAGGACAAACTAAACTAGGCTGGAAAACTTCAGACCACTAATGTTTTATGTTTTTATTAGTGCATTATAATTATTTATTAATGGACTTTGTTATGCCATATTCATACATGATATACCATAATTTGTTCACCCTCATTCCTTAGTACCTTCCCTTTCCCTCTCCCTCTGATCCCCTTGCTCTATTGGTCTTTTTTTTTTTTTTAAATTAATGCAAATAATGTGGGTTTTGTTGTTACTGTTTTTGGCACTAGGGATTTAACCTTTTATTTTGAGATAGGGTTTAAGTTGCTGAGGGCCTTGCCAATAGTGTTACTGAGGCTGGCTCAAATTTGTGATCCTCCCGTTTCAACCTTTCCAGTTGCTGGGATTATAGATATGTGCCACTGTATCCAATTCTAACACCCCTGAAGAGTTCCTAATCATCAGGTTTCACCCTAAGGCAGAGATCCAGTCTGATTGCCCCTCCCTTCATTGCACCCTGCTGAAGCTGCTGGTTCTGGGCTTGGAGCTCCTGGTTCCTCGAGGCCAGGTCAATGGTGTCTTGCAGGACACAAGCCAGTAGGCTGCGGTGACGATGCTCTGTGGTCATGGCCTGCTCTTCCTGCAGCCTCTGCCAGGCTCGAAATACCTGTGGCCAGATTCAGAGACTCCTGTCAGCCAGCCAGCCTGCCTTGCTACCAGCAGGCTCAAGGCCTACTGTCTGTCTCCACTGACCTGCAGTATGTGGCTTGTCTGTGCTCTGGTGGCCTGCACATGCAGATCATAGAAGGATGCCAAGTCTTCCTCTGCGATGTCCCGCTCTGCCTGCAGGGCCTCCACCTGAAGTCTCAGTACTTTCAGCTCCCGGTGCCATCTCGGCCTCTTCTCACAGGTATTCAGAGAGAATTCATACCCTTTGTTGAGCACCACCTGTTGCTAGACTCTGTTCCAAACCCTCCATGTGCATTATCTCATTTTGTCCAGTAACAACTTTATGGGGTAGTTGTCCTAACTTACTCAAATTCCCATGGCTAGTGAGAGACAGAGCTGAGATGACATATACCTTTCAACAGTTCCTTGGAGTGAAATCCAGACTCAGAGATGTGGTATACCAATCTCATTAGCTTTGCCTCTTGACTCCACACTTGCTGGGTGCCAGACTTGTGGTTCTCAGAGCCCATTTTGCCATTGCTTTATGCTAGCCCATTGCTTATACAGTTTTTCCTTTCTGAGAAATTATCCCCACCACATAAAAAAAAAAAAAAAGCTTTGATTCTTAATTTGTTCAAACAAGTAATGTTTACTGAGTGCCTCTGTGATGAGCACTATCTGCCTTTGTGGAACTGAGTCTAGTGAATTCCCTTAGTGATTTCTGTTTGTCCTCTAAGTCTCACCTTAGATGCCATCTCCTCTGATTCACTCCAGCCTGGGTGAAGTGTACCTTTTTATTTTCATCCTAACTCCCCTATTACAGCATGCAGCACTGAGAATTGCCTCCTCTATCCTCCACAAGACTAAGAGGGTATGGACCAGTCAGTTGTGACTGATGAAGGACTAGCTCCTAGTACAATGACTAGCCTAATTATAAGGAATCTCAAGACCCCTACTCAGCCCTCCTCACCTCCTCTTCAGCCACCAGGCCTTTGACCTGTTCATGTACCACCTCTTCCTGTTCCAAATGCTTTATCTCCTCTTGGATCCAAATTTGGTGCTGCTCTCTCAATCTCTGCCTCCGAACTTGAGCCGTGAGCAACTGCAGAGCCACATCTGGGGCCTGCTGGGACTAGATAGTATCAGTCTAGGCTTACCCAGAAGCCAGGACCTAACTGGCCTGGAGGAATCTGTAACCTGGGAAGAAACTCAGGAGGCCAGGGGTAGAGGAGGTACTGGCTCTGCCAATAGTCACCATAAAGGCCCTAATAATCTCATACTCATAATCCAACCAAGAAAAAAGCTCCTCTCTATGCTCATCCTCTAGGGATCCAGTAGCCCTTCAGGTCCTTTATTTTCCAGAAGCTCCATATTTCTTCCTGTTGTCAGGCAGTAGCAGGAGGCAGATTAGCTGGGCTCTGGTACCCCCTCACACTTCCAACAGTTTCCAGTTGTTCCCAAAATATATGAGATATTACCTGTTCCTCAAAGTTCCTGAGAGGATGCTTTTGGTGGAGACCAGGCCCTAGAGATGATGTTCTTTCTGCCACTACAGGAAAATATAATTAGTCACACCAAAGGTGGAGACCCTTTCCCAACTACCCCTCAAGTACCAGATCTACCAAGGACTTCCTGCTGAGGCCTGGACTATGGCTTACTACTGAATCCATCACCTGCAGAGAAGTAATCTAGAGTGACAATTTCTCATCCCTCCCCCAAGGACAGCGTAGTTTAAGCTTGGGGCTTTGAAATCAAACAGATCAGAGACCCAGCCCCGCCTTTTCTTAGCTCTATGATGTCAGGCAGGCGACTAGTCTTTTGAGTCTCCATGCTCTTCTTCATAAAATAGAATGGATAAAAGTTGTTAAGAGCATGAAATAAGGTAACAACAAAGCACTGAGCAGTCAGGCATGTGATCAATAATTGGAAACTAATGTGCTTAATTCCCCAGGCCCAGTGTTATAAAAACAAATTGTAAGGATGTAATTATGAAAAGGGAAGAGAAGGACCTGAATACGCAGGGTTTGAACTACCCTGCAACAAATCATGGAAGACAGCGCCCCCTTTTGTTCAAGAGAGGTCATGCCATCCGGGTTGCAAGACCCAGATTAGAAATCTGAGGATTTGAGTGTTGCTCCTAGGCTGCCTCTGATTAAGAAAATGACCCTGGGCTACTCACATCTCTTCTCTTATCTCAGTTTTCTCACCTGACAAATGGGAATAATGTTGTCTTCCTTGCTTAGGATACTTCGGTGGCTCAGGCTTGACCTTCAAGACAGAGTCCAAACATCTCAGTAGCTTACCAAAGCCCTGTGTAACCTGGCCCTACTTATCTCACTATTCCTTCTCGCCTGACTCTAACTTAAACTCTATTCTCCAGAGTACTGAGCTGCTTGCAGTTCTCCAGAGACATCAAGCATTTGCTTACCTCTCAATCTCTGCCTCTCATTCTGTCTAGGTTGTTCTTCACTCATCTTTGCTAACCTCAGGAATCACTTTCTCCATGAAGCCTTCCTTCCCTCTCTTGCTCAGGCTAACACAGATGTGCCACAGAACCTTGTGTTTATAAGCCTTTCCGAGAACTGATCATGGTGTAATTGTTTCTTCCCAACAGATTGTAAACTCCACAAGAACAGGGAATTCCCAGGGCGGACATAGCCCCTGTGCCCTGCACATGGTAAATTGTCAATAAGTGTTTGGAAATTGATAAATCAATGGATAAATGGAATGCTCTGTGAAGACAGCAAAGAAAGACATAAATGGGGCTCCCAAAAGGTTGGAGGAAAAGATGTACCTGCGGTTCTGGGAACCCCACGGCCTCAGCTGTAGACCCTTTGGGTGTCCCTCTTCTTGGGCACTGGCTCCAGGCTTTTATCACCTATGGAGAAGGGGTTCAGAGTGGGTACTGGCCATTGCTGGCTAAGGTGCCCTCCAGGCTTCACTTTGCTCACCTGTAGCTCCCGCAGTGCCCTTCCCAGCTGGCTAAGCCCACTGTCTGTCAAGGTGTCCCCAAAGAGGCTTAAACGCAGGGTCCTCAGGCTAGCCCGGCGGGCCCGGGCCTCTTCTACTGCATCCCACCAAGTGGGCTTCACCTCTTTCATCTGCATCCTCCTTCCTGATGCCCCCAAGAGAGCAGCCTGGAGCAAACGCAGGGAGCTGCCTAGTAAAGGAAAACTTGGAGTAGATTACTCCTTCCTGTAGACTCCAGAGCACACTGTTTGTAATAGTTCAAATTTCCATTAATAGTACTATTCTGGGGCTGGGGTTGTGGCTCAGTGGTAGAGCACTTGCCTTGCATATGGAGGGCACTGGGTTCGATCCTCAGCACCACATAAAAATAAATAAAAGTATTGTGTCCATCTACAACTAAAAAAATATTTTAAAAATAGTACTATGCTTCAAAATATCTAACTCCTATTGGACTTTCACGTGTGCTTGATGGCTCTGTCCTAAGGCTGTTCATAGCTTATCTATTTTTATCCCCCACAACTGTAATCAACCTAGCCCCCACTCCATCCCACCCATGTTCTCCAGATGAGGCAATTGAAACTCAGAGAGGTCTAACAACTTTTTGGTAAGTGACAGAGCAGAAAATCAAGCCCAGTTTTGTCTGACACTAAAGCCTGTGCTCTTGGTCATGACATCACACTGGCCTATAGATAAACACATGTCTGACCCTCACTGCTTTATCTTTGACGGTGTCAATTGCCACAACTTATCTTCCTCATTCCATAGGACCTGGCATAGGAGGACTGAGAATCTGCTGGCCAAAAGTGTGTTTGTTGATTTTGGAGATAGAGTGCCAGACATGTTTTTTTTTTTTTTTTAAACTCTTATGGAAAATTTCAAACATATACACAGTGTAAGAAATCCATCTATCACCCATCTTGAACTATTATCAGCTCATGGCTCTTTTTTTATGTGATAGAGGGAAGATTAAGCCCAGAGGTACTCTACCACTGAGCTATATTCCAAGCCTTTTTATTAATTTTTTTTTAATTTTGAGACAGGATATTGCTAGGTTGCTCAGGCTGACCTCCAACTTGCCATCCTCTTGCCTCAGCCTCCTGAGTGTCATGGATTACAGGCATGCACCAATGTGCCCAGCAAAGGCCATATTGTTGATGGGTATATGAAAATAGGTAAGTTCTTTTCTCTTTCTGGTCCTCTATTTCCTCTTCTATAAAATATACCTGCCTCCATTTACTCATTTGTAAATTACATTCTCCTGAGGAGGTTATGGTAAGAATTGAAGGTATTAAAATGCTTTGTAAGCTGTTGAAGCCCCCTAAGGGGAGGGGTTTGCTTTTACTATTGTCTTTGCCCTTGCCCCTCCAAACTTTGGCACCCTAGCCACAGTGGCACCTTCCTAAATCCCAGAGGATAAAGTTTGCTCTCTGGGCAAGGGTTAGTTGGCTGATAGGATGAGGCAGGCCTAATGCCAGATTTCAGAGTTTCCCAAAAAACCCCACGCCCTTGCCCCATCCATCTTGGGGGTCCATGTGAATAAGGAGTCCACTGTAGTTGTTTCCTTCCAGAAGCCATGAGACAATCCAGGGCAGAGAGCCCTCCACCTTCTCACCAACAGCCTCACCCGCCAACACCCGCAGCAAGGGGCAATCCCTGCCAGAGAAAAAGAAGATAATAGTTGTCCACTTGTGATTGAGAAAGAAAATGAATGCATCACACGCTGATAAAAAGATTGACTATTTCCATCAACTTTTGCCCATAACCAGACAGATTCACAACCTGGAACTGGAATGGATGTAATGTCTGCAAAACAGAAATGTGTCTTGTGAACCACTTGCCAATCTTAACCACTGTCCAACTTACATGAAATTCATGAAATGAGCACTTAAAGCAGTGGCAACTGAAAATAGAGAAATTTTTACAACAAACTCAGGGAGAGCTCTTTCTCTGACTTTTGGGAGAAATTATATATATATGAAAGATGGGATGTGAAAAAGAGGCCCTATCTGATGTGTTCTACTTTGATTTCTATCCTACAATCTAAAAAGTAATCAATGTGTTTGGCAACTTTTCAATTTTTATTTTGGGACAGGGTCTTGATACGTTGCCTGGGTGGGCCTTAAACTTGTGACCTTTTTGCCTTGGCCTTATGAGTCGCTGTACCACAAGCCTGTACCACCATGCTCAATTTATTTTTTATTTTTCTTTAATGTTTTTATTTTTCTTTAATTGTCCCTAGGGATTTAATTCTATGTCAGGTCACTGGCTAACTAATGAGATAACAGAATGAAGACTTCAGTGGCCACAAAGAATACTATCTTCAAAAATTGTTTGGAAAAATGACTAAGCAGGGCTGGGGTTGTGACTCAGTGATAGAGCACTTGCCTAGCACATGCAAGGCGCTGGGTTCAATCCTCAGCCCCATATTAAAATAGATAAATAAAATAAAGGTATTGTGTTCCACTACTACTAAAAATTGAATATTAAAAAAATTAAATTAGGGCTGGGGCTGGGGCTCAGAGGTAGAGCGCTGGCCTATCTACATGAGGCACTGGGTTCGATCCTTAGCACCACATAAAAATAAAATGAAGATATTGTGTTTACCTATAACTAAAAAATAAATATTAAAAAAAATAAATTTAAAAAAAAGAAAAGAAAAATGACTAAGCAAACATTGTTATAAGCCACAGCCCATAACAAGCAACAATAATAGATCCTGGACAGTAGGGAGAATTTGATTTCCTGAGTTACCACATAACATCCTAAATGTCAGAGCATTAAACTAAAGAAACAAAGAACAATGAACAAAAGATCAGTATGACAAATACAGTTTTTTTTTTTTACAAAAAATATTAAAAATGGACAACTTCTAGCAAAAATTAAGACATGTACAAAGGAACAAGCAAGCATGGTTCAAAAGAAAAAAGAAATTAACAGACACTGTCCCTGAGGATGCACAGATGTTGAACACTGAAATATCTAGACAAATACTTTACGTCAACTCTCTCAGAAAACTAAAGGAAATCAAAATGTGATGTTTTAATGAATAGAGAATATCAATAGAGAGGTAGAAATTATAAAGAAGAACCAACTAGAAATTCTGAAAAGTACAATAACTGAAATTTTAAATTCACTTATAGGGATACAAGAGTAGATTTGGGCAAATGCAAGAAATAATCTCAGTGAACTTGATAGGTCAAATTATCCTGTCTAAGGAGAATTAAGAAAAAGATGAAGGAAAATGAGTAGAGAGCTTAAGAGACTTGTGGGAGTCTGGATAATGCAAATACGAGAGGGAAAAGAGACAAAAGAACAGAAAAAAAATATTTGAAGAAATAATGGTCAAAAATCCCCCAAATATACAACTATAATGCACCAATAAAAAATGTGGAAGGAAAAAACCTTCCAAATATGCTGTCTTTTGCACATGTACTCCTTTTGCATGTATTTGCTTCCCCTTTCCACTTCTCTACCATGAGTTGAGTAGTATGAGGACCTCACCAGAAGCCCCACAGATGCAGATATCATGCTCCTGAACTCTCCTTCCCCCAAAACCATGAACCAAAATAACCTCTTATCTTTATAAAGTGAAAAAAATCTTTCAATTTTATGAAACCATGAATCTACATATGCAAGAAGCTAATGAACTCTAATAGCATAAACTCAAGGTGATCCCCACCAAGACATTATGATCCAACCATCAAAAGACCAAAAATATTTTTTTTAATAAATATTTATTTTATTTTAGTCTTCGGCACAACATCTTTGTTTGTATGTGGTGCTGAGGATCGAACCTGGGCCACACGCATGCCAGGCGAGCGCGCTACTGCTTGAGCCACATCCCCAGCCCCAAAAGACCAAAAATCTTAAAAAAAAAAAAAAAAAAGCAAGAAAGAAGCTAACTTATTGTGTGTTGTAATTTTCAATAAGATTAAAAACTGAGGTCTGGGGATATAGCTCAGTTGGTAGCGTGCTTGCCTCCTATATGTACAAGGACCTAGGTTCAATACCCAGCACCACCACCAAGAAAAAAGAAAAAAAAAAAAAGACTAAATTTTTAATCACCAGAAACTGTGGATGGCCAGATGACAAATTTAAAGTACTGACAGAAAAAAATTACTTACCAAGAACTTCATATCTGACAAAAAATTTTCTTTTGGGGGGGTGGTACTGGGAATTGAACTCAGGGACACTCAACCATACCCCCAGACCTACTTTGTATTTAATTTAGAGACAGGGTCTCACTGAATTGCTTAACACCTTGCTTTTTGTTGAGGCTGGCTTTGAATTCATGATCCTCCTGCCTCAGCCTCCAGAACCACTGGGATTACAGGTATGCACCACCATGCCCAGCACTATCTTTCAAGGAGAAGAAACTAAGACATTCCCAGATAAAGAAAAGCTGAGGCAATTCACCTCTAGTAGTTTCTTTACCAGAAATGCTAAAGTAAAGTGTAAATACATTAGACAGTAACTTGAAGCCATATGAAGAAATAAGGAACACTAGTGTTAGGGAACAAATAGATGAGGGTGGTGGGAACATGAGGTTAAGAGAATAATTCTAGGGCTGGGATTGTGGCTCAGCAGTAGAGCGGGTAGAGCGCTCGCCTAGTGGGACCCAGGTTGGATCCTCAGCACCACATAAAAATAAAGGCATTGTGTTGTGTCCATCTACACCTAAAAATATAATAAGTGTTTAAAAAAAGAGAGAGGATAATTCTATACTGCCGCAGTCTGGCTGGGCACAAATTACGAGCCACTCAAGCAGGAACAAACTTTATTTCCGAACTCCCGGGAACGTCACGCACACGGCCTTCTCCCGGGACACACCACACACCAACCGGAAATCCCTCCTCTGGAACTTCCACAACCAACGCGAACTCCCCAGGCAATCCTCGGGAGGACTCCAAAGTATCGGGCACCAGAGGCGGACAGTAAAGGTCTAATATACAATTGAATCAATCCAGCATCATCTTAATGGCTCGCCTCTCAACCAATACTATTGGAAAAATGCCAGGGGCCATTCCGACTGGCTGTGGCTCTCAGCACTATACCATGAACCCACTATGCTGACTCCCACATGCTTTCTTTGTCAAAAAGCAATGTCTTGTACCTGGCTTTAGTAGTCAGGATGTGTCACAGTCCTCACCAAATTACCTGTTATCTTCAAGGAAACTCAGGCAGGAAACAATGTTGATAAGAACAACCCAAGTTACTTTGAAAGGAGAGACTTTTTGTGACCCCTTTCACAGACTAGATCTTGGAAGATAAGGGTAGTTCCTCCTAACCATAAAACCTGTAAAAATGATTTAGAATCTAATTAGAACTGCTCAGCATGGGCCAAGGTGACATAGAGTTGTCCTGGCAGTAAGGCTTGAAAGCCTGATGTCATCTTGCTGTCAGTCAAAAGTTAAGAAGTAGACCTGGGTGGGGCTCTTTGGAAACTTCCCTGGGATCCCCAATAAAACTGGAGTGCATGGAATATTGTTTGGGGTTTCTTTCCACGATGACAGCTGAGTCAGAGTGTAAGGGTAAAAGAAATTGAAGTTAAAGCGTAAAAGTTAAAGGGTAAAAGACCGGGTGTTGTAAAGTTTCTAAGCTGCAAGGTCTGAGTTAAAATGTAAAGGGTTTCTATGCTACCTGCAAAACCTGAAATTTCTGTAGCTGTTAAGACAATGCTTGGAACTGCCCAGTAAATATTTCCCCTGACTATTTGGTTGTGTAATAAGGGCTCTGTGTGGTTGCACGTAGGCATTGCAGGGCCTGGACCAATCAGTTTAAATGTAACCCCCTCCTTAGGAATGACCTATCACTCCAGCCTGACCTGTTCCTGCCAATGAATGAACTAATCATGTTTAGGAGTTGTTGTTCAATTTTCCCGCGCCTCATGATGATTTGTTCTGATGTATACAAAGCCCTCCGCCCTCCCCAAAAAGTGTACTTAAGCAGTGCTCAGCCCCTGCTCAGGGCTCTGGCTGCTTTCCCTTCTTGAGTGGGCACGGAGCCCCAGCATGCTGGTTCAATAAATCCCCTTCTGCCAATTGCATGAGTGGTCACTTGGTGGTCTCTTTCAGCTTCGCCTGACCCTTACAAGAGTGACTATGAGGCGACTCTTGTTCTAAGATGGAGTATATGTTTCAAAAACAGCATTGCCTGTGTCAAGTTCTTCCTGATAGAGATTATTTTTTGAAGTAATGTGACTTCTTTTTTTATTATTTTATTTATTTATATGTGGTGCTGAGAATCGAACCCAGTGCTTCACACATACTAGGCAAGTGCTCTACCACTGAGCCACAACCCCAGCCGGAGATTTTTTTAAAAAATATTTATTTAGTTGGAGATGAACACACAGTACCTTTATGTATTTTTATGTGGTGCTGAGGATTGAACCCAGTGCCTCACACATGTGAGGCAAGCACTTTACCACTGAGTTAAAGCCTCAGCCCCCCAATAGAGATTTTGATACCCTACTTTTTAATAATTGGTAGAATAACTAGGCAAAAGTTCAGTAAGGAAGAAGAATACTTGAACAACATAATAAACCAATTAGGCTCAACAGAAATATACAGAATATCCTAAAATAACAAAATATATATTCTCCAAAGTGCACATGGAACATTCTCGAGGACAGACTACATATTAGGCTACAAAACAAATGTCAATACTTAAAATAATAAAAAAATCTTAAAATAATAAAAAGCATCTTCTCTGATCACAAAGGAATGAACTAGATATGAATAACAGAAGGGAAACTGGAAAATTCACAAATTTGTAGAAATTAAACAAAGGAAAATTAGAAAATACTTTCAGACAAATGAAAATAAAACATAACATAACAAAACTTACAGGATATAGCAAAAACAGTGTTCAGAGGGAAATTTTTAGTTGTAAATGCCTGCATTTAAAAGGAATAACTTAACCGGACACTTAAAGGAACTAGAAAAATAATTTTTTTCCCAATACTTGGGATTGAACCTGGGGTATTTTACCACTGAGGTTCTTGCAAAGTTGCTGAGCCTGGCCTTAACCTTGGGATCCTCCTACCTCAGCCTACTGAGTCTATGGGATTACAGGCATTTCATAGTGTCTGGCAAGATCATTTCAATTGATTAAAAAAAAAAATCCACTGGGGCTGGGGTTGTGGCTCAATGGTAGAGCGCTTGCTGGGTTTGATCCTCAGCACCACATAAAAGTAAATAAACAAAATAAAGGTATTGTGTCCATCTACAACTAAAAAAAGTTTTTTTTAAAGTTTTATGCAGTATCTAAAACCCTATCGTGATATAAATATTCAACAAAATAATCCCAACTACTTAGGAGGCTGAGAGGGAGAATCACAAATTCAAGGCCAGTCTGGGCAATTTAGGGAAACCCTGTCTCAAATTAAAATAAAAAGGGCTAGGAATGCAGCTCAGTGTTAAAGCACCCCTGGGTTCAATCCCCAGTACTACAAGCAAAACAACAAAAGCAAAAACAAAAACCAAAAAAAAATCAACAAAATAGGAATAAAAGAGAAATTCTACAACATTATAAAAAGTATATGTGCAAGGATTGGGGTTGTATAGCTCGGGAAGCTGAGGAAGGAGGATCACAAGTTCAAAGCCCACCTCTGAAACTTAGCGAGGCACTAAGCAACTCAGTGAGACCCTGTCTCTAAATAAAATACAAAATAAGGTGGGGGATGTGGCTCAGTGGTTGAGTGCCCCAGAGTTCAATCCCTGATATCAATCAATCAATCAATCAATGGAAAGATGTGCTGATATATACTACATGATGAACCATGATGAACATTATTCTAAGTGAAGGAAGCCAGGTTTAAAAGTCACATATTGCATGATTCTGTTTATAGGAAAACATTCAAGTCAGATCAGTCGGGGCAGGCAATGGCCAAAGGAGGCAGATTTAAAAGGGCCGCTGAACAGGCTTTATTGAGATATCACTTCCTAACCCTAACCCTAACCCTCAATCAGACCCACAGAGGGGACAGGAGAAGGGTCTGAGGAGAAACCGCGTGGAAGCTCGACTGTACTGGACTTTTATGGGGCTTACAGCAGGAAGGGAAGGGCTTCGGACAGGAAAAGGTGTTTCTAGGGTCCCTTGCCCCCTTGGAGTTGGTCAGGGGAGTTGGCTGAACTCCAGGATTGGCCAGGGGGTCCTGTTGATGGACAGGTGTTAGTCAGGAGATCTGGCTGATTGACAGGCGTTTCCGCCGGCATCTGATTGATATTCTTTTCCCGCGTGGGCTGCTTTGTTCTAAGTTGCCACTAAGTCACCACCAAGCCGCTGCCAAGTCTCCGCCACCCACCGACCTAACAATTCATATTAGATAAATCCATTGGGAAATGAAATCACGTTCAGTAGGGGCTGGGAGAAAGGGGAATTGGAGAGTGACTGCTTAATGGGTACAATTGGAGAGTGACTGCTTAAAGCGTACAGGGTTTTCTTTCAGGATGATGAAAATGTGTTGGAACTAAAGAGTTTCACAACCTTATAAGTGTTCTAAATGTTACCAAATTGCACCTTATATCATGGTTACAGTTAAATTTATGTTGTATGAATTTTACCTCAATAACTATAGACAAAGATTAAAATTCAGTTAGATGCTTGCCTAGCATGTGTGAGGTACTGGATTTGATCCTCAGCACCACATAAAAATAAATTAATTAATTAAGTAAAGGCATTGTGTTCATCTACAATTTAAAAAAATGCTTAAAATAATTGAGTTACCAGATTACCCCACCACACACAATATCACTTCTTGCTATATATCCAGGAGAATTGAAAATATGTAAAAAGAAAACCTTTTATGTGAATGTTCATAAGAAGTACTATTGTAATAGTCAAAGGTGGAAACAGCTCAAATGTCCATCTAGGAATAAATGAATGAACAAAAGATGGGATATTCATACAATTGAATATTATTTGTCAATAAAAACTGAAGTTTGAACCTTGAAAATGTTATCCTACATGAAAGAATGAAAGAAAGAAAAGACTTTGGAATAGTCTGGAATTTAGGGTACTTTATTTCTCCATTTCGTTTTTAGGCACTTCTGAATTTGGCCGTGTTTCCATGATAATACAAATCTTGCAAATTGGCTTGGAATGTTTATTTTCTATCGCCACTCAATGCTTTCATTATTTTTGGACACTGAGAGAAAGGTACAAAGTGCAGCATGAAGATATGGTTACTTGGGAATTTTCCAATCTTTGTTTTGGATATTTGGTTCTTCCCAAGTTTGCAGTCTGATAGATCAGAAGAAAATTAATTCAAATTGTAAAAATTAAAAAGAAATAGAAGGCTGGGCATAATGGCACATGCATGTAATCCCAGAAACTTGGGAGGCAGAGGCAGGAGCCAACCTTGGCAATTTAGCAAGAACTTGTCTTTTTTTTTTTAATTTTGGAAATGTTAAATATTTGTTATTTTTATTTTTATTTTTATTATTGGTTGTTCAAAACATTACATAGTTCTTGACATATCATATTTCACACATTTGATTCAAGTGGGTTTTCCTTGGGATTAAACCCAGGGCTTTATGCATGCAAGGCAAGCACTCTACCAACTGAACTCTATTCCCAGCCCTAACACCCTGTTTTAACATTAAAAAAAAAATGGGGCACTTTTCAATATATGAAAAAACAGTGACTGGAAAGATCTATTTTTATTTAAAGATTCTACAAATTCTCTACCTACCCAGTTGCTTTTGACCACGTCATTTGCCAACAGAGGGTCTTAGTCTGGGGTCTGGGGGAACCTTACTGTGAGAGCTCAGGAAAAAAGGAGAAACTTTGATGCTGCCCTGGGCATTCACATCCATATTCCAGCCTTGCACCTTACCTCCCAATGCAGCCAGAGGCCCTCTCATACTTACGGGGTCCCTGGGAGCTGCAAGATCCTCAAAGCACCTCGCCATACACCGTGGGTCCCAGGCCCCTCAGGAGGTTTAGGCCCAGGGCAGAACATGGTGACAGTGAGCAAAAAGCAGGTCCTGTGGGGGAAAGGGTAGGCTCAAGGCAAAGGCCCAGGGGATGAGGGATGACTGGTGCCTTCAGGTCCTCACCTGCCTTCACCCCCTGCAGCCTGTAAGTATAGCTCTGAGGCAGCTCTTGCGTCAGACACTTCCACTTCACTGGCATGTTCCACCACCCTGCAGGAAGGGGAAGTTGAGTCACCTCCTAAATTGATTTTAATTTTCTCCTGTGAGCTGGGCAGGGTGGCGCATACCTATAATCCCAGAGATGCAGGAGGCTGAGGCAGGAAAGTCACAAGTTTGAGGCTAGCCTCAGCAACTTATTTTTCCTCCTCTGGTTTGCCATCAAGGGAAACAGGATAATTGGGATTCCCCCCATTTTACAGATGAAGAAATGAAAGTCCTGCTCAGTAAAGTGCTCAAAATTACCTACTGTGACAGCGGACTGAGTTGAGATGTGAGGATGGAGAATAGAGTTGAAATGGTATGAGTTGAAGAGCTACAATCGGGGTGGGAGTAGTAAGAGATATGAGCATATGGGATGAGGGTGCGAGAGTGTGAGGGTGCGAGGGTGCAAGGGGGTCCTGGGAGCAGACCCAAGGCCTATAAACAGGACTCCAAGCTCAGAGCTTCCCTCTTCTGAGGTGGCAGCGGGTAGAAACCTCTAAAGACTTGACCTGGAACTATTAGCCCTGCCTTAAGACAAGCACACTCAGACCCCATTGGGCCCTGAACACTCACAAGCCTAGAGGAGCCACATCCAGCACCGACAGGTCCTCCACCCCTGGGGAGAGCAGGTCCCAGGTCTTCCCGCTGGGGCTGATCTAAGGTCACACAAGCACACTTGTTACAAACTGAGCCTTTCCTTTTGTGGGTCCCTGTGAGCTCAGCAGTGTGCATGACTGAGCCATTCCATTGTCAGGATAAAGGTGACCCCACAGAGACAATCCTACTCTGGTGAGCCTCAGAGTGGGGCTAGACCCAAGTTCTTCTGGCTCCCCACAAGCCGCAGGCCCTTTCTTCAGTGTCACATGGCCCTGGCTCCCAGGTCCCAATCCCATCTCCTCAACCCCCAAGAGTTTCACCTGCACCAGGCTAAGAGTGCTAAGTACATGATCAGAGCGGTGGAGGGACAGAGCTTCCTCAAACAGCATCTGCAGCAACTAAAGGGAGAAAGGGATCCAGTGAGGACTGAGAAAGAAATGACTCAGTCCTCAACACTTCCTGAGGGTGAGATCTATGCCACGCCCTGTCTGGGTACTGGGGACATGGTGTCCAGAATAGAAATAGCACTAACCCTCATGTTCACAGTGAGCCAGAATGAATAGACATGAGTAGACATTTTCAGTGGGACCTGGCACAGGGTCCCTTGACAAGGTTCTGAGGCAGCTGTTTTGATTTGGGGAAATTTTAATGAAGCCCCCACAACAAAGTTTTCAAGTTTAGTATCATTAGTGTAACCGAGAACTATGAAAAGCAGACCTCCTGAATATTTGATCTTCACACACTGCCCCTCTGACTCCCATCCCATCCTCGTGAGCGTCCTGCCTTTCAAACCTGCCAGGGTCAAAATGTACTACATGGATCACAGTCCCCAAGGCGCGTTACCTAGTCCAGCTGGGATGGACAGACAAAGAACCTCTAAAGTCCTGGAGAAGGTGACTCCTGAACCTCATGAGGTCTGTGCCCTGGTAGGTCCTTACCTGGGGCACAAATCGGGGGGCCTCTGTCTCCCTGCCCCGGAGCAGCAGAGATACACTGTACCCTTGGCCCACAGAGGCCAGTGTTGTTTGGACTCGTGCCAGTAGCTCCTGCTCTGCTTCCTGCGGGAAGACACAGGCTAATTCCCGCTGTCTCAGGTGCCATTTCCCAGCCTTTCCTGAGCAAAGGGGTGGGGAGCAGACAGCACTCTCGGATCCAGGGCCCTGAAACCTCCCATCATCCTCCCATCGCCCACTCAGTTTCCCTACCTGAGCAGCATCAGGACCCAGGACTCTGTCAAAGGTGAAGCATTGTTCCTATGGGCAGGACTGGGGTCAGTAGTGTCATTCCCATCTTCCCCTATACCCACCAACTCCACCTGGTTTACCTGAGTCTCCAAGTTCCCCAGCTGAAGAAGTTGAAGGCTCTTGGGCCCCTCCAGAAGGATTGTAGGGCTATGGGTCTCCTTGGGGCCTGAGAAAGGCAGATTTCACATGAATTCTCATGAGGAAAACTGAGCTCCAGGATTCCCCAAGTCCTGCCTTCAACCCAGGCCTCAGTTTCGCAACCTAAGCTGTCCTGGCCCTGCCTCTCCCAAGAAGCTCCCTAGACTATACTCCTGAATACAAACTTGGGGGGCTTCTTACCTGATCCCCTCTCCAGCTCCACTTGTACCACCACAGTCAACATGGCAAGTAGATTGAGAGACACAGTGTGGGTCTCTGGAGAAGGCAGAGCTTCCTGGTCCACACAGCCCCTGTTCTCACCACCTCTGCAGACTTCAAGACTCCAGGCCTCTCAGATTGCCCTTAATAATTCATGTCCTTCATGAGAGGGCCTGGGAGTAGGGGTCAGGTGGCTCTAGATAATTAAACTACCAAGAGAAGTGACACTCTCTTCTGAGAAAACATTTCCTGAATTTCTTTTTTTTTTTAATGAAAACTTTCAAACTATATAACAGTGAAGAGAAGAGTATAATAAACTTCCAGGTTCAGCTTCAGCAATTATAAATTTCCTGTCAGTCTTATTTCTTCAATTCCCCTCTCCAACCCCAATGGATTATTTTGAAGTTGTTTCCAGACATCCCATTATTTCATCAATTATTTCTGCATCTATTTCTAAAAGGTAAACATTTTTAATAACAGTTTTTGAGATATAATTAATATGCCATACAATGTACCCATTTAAAGTATAAGTCAGTGTATATACATAGATATACATATATCTATGTATATGTATTGGTTGCAACCACTATAACAGTTAATTTTAGAATATTTCCATCATGTCATTAAAAAAATTTTGATTTCCTTTAGTTATCAGCTCCCTAACCTCAAACCACCCATCTCAAGCTGCAACCCTGAGCAACTATTTATCTACTTTCTGTCTACAGATTTGTCTGTTAGACATTTCATATAATTAGAATTACACACTGTAATTTTTGCATCTGGTTTCTTTCACTTAGCATAATGTTTTAAATGTTCATCTATGTTGTAGCATGGATAAATATTTCTTTTCCTACAGCTGAATAATGTTCTATATAGGCTTCTTCACAAATTACCCAGGATCGGGCTAAATTTCACAGTAAAGGGCGTGATTTTCTGTAGCATTCTGCTCACTACAGACACCACTCTCAAGCTCAGGGTTCCCTAAGCCTTTGCACTCCAACCACCTGGGTATTTCTATGATTCTGGGTGTTTCCATTACTCCCTCAGGTTTGATTCACAAAAACAACTCACAGAACTCAGGAACACACTATGTTTATTTTATAACACCAATTTTCTGACATCAACTGAGTGTTCAATTCAATTCATTTCTGACATGAACTGCCTGGAGTTGATGACAGATCCCACAGATTAAAAAGTAAATTTCTCAACAAAGCTGTCCTTAATTTAGATGACAGACACATGTAAGGTTACTTGGCTATCCATATTTCTGTCTGAATTGGTTAAAAGTTTAGCAGTTCCAAAGACCCCATGTCAGGTTTAATAATTCACTAAAGGGACTGTAGGTATAGCTCAATGGTAGAGCCTGTGTTTAGCATGTGCAAGGTCCTGGGTTCAGTTCTGAACACTGATAATATTAATAATTCACTAGAATGACTAACAGAACTCAGAAAACTGCTCTACTTACTATTGCCTTATTTAAAAAAATATTTATTATAAGTATGTCCCAACTATTTTTTTAACTTTTTTGTTCATCTATTTTCTGTGGTGCTGACGATGGAACCTAGTGCTTCACACTTGGGAGGCAAGCATTCTACCACTGAGCCACAACCTCAGCCTCTTACTATTGCCTTTTTATTATAAAGGATATAAATGGATAGTCAGATGAAGAGGTACATAGGGCAAGATCCAGGGTACAGGAGCCTCTATCCCTATACTGCCATCTTCCAGGTTCATCAATGTGCTTACTGCCAGGAAGCTCCCTAGGCTCAATCTGGAGTTGATTTTTTTTTTTTTTTTAGGTTTTATTATGCAAGCATGATTGATCATTGTCCATGTGACTGAACTCGACTCCAGATGCCCTCTTCTCCCCAGAGGGTTGGTGGGAGTGGGGAGCTAACAATTCTAGCCTTCTAGTGACATGATTGGATTTCTGGTATTCTATCTTTTCTATGCTACAGCTATACAGAGGTCCACAGCAAGGTGGTCTTGGACTGACTCAATTCTCCCCTCTTTCTTGCTTGTAGTTTTAAAAAATAACTGCAAAATGTGATGGGAATGCAGGAGGGACTGGCTGGAGCAACATAGGCTCTGTTCTGGTCCCTCCTAAAATAGGATATCTTTCAATGCTTTATCCCAGTAAGTCTGATTTCCCCTGGGGTATGAAACCCAAAGCATTGCTATACAGGGTTCCTCAGTTGTGGTGCCAGTGGGGTATGCACAGAAAAGATTCCATCCACCCAGGGAGCTTTCCAGAGCCTTAGGGGACTGGCTCACAATGAATTCTTAGCTTTTCCTATTGTCCCTTGACAATTTTTTTTCTGTTGTCCCTTGATGCTTATCTCTAAGTAAGTTGTGTGCAGGTATTCACCAGAGTCAGACAAGTTGGTAACTAGTACACAGTGAACTTGCTTTACATACTTCATTAGTCTAACAGAGAGACTCCTTTTACTCATGAATTCCAAAGGATTTTGAAACTCTGTGCCATAAAATGGGGACAAAGATCAGACATATTCTTTATCATTCACTGTCCAGACCATGCTCTTTCAGCAATAGGGTCATACCTGTCTGATAGTCTACATTTGGTGTATTATTGATATAGCAGATACAGCAGACTACCAACATGCATATGCTTCATGTGCAAAGCCTAATATTTGAAAGTATCAGTGTAGGGTAGGGATGTAAAATCCAATTTTCCAACACCAGGCAACTATCAGTTTCAGTATGATGGCCACTCAGATTTTTATGATTCTACTCAATCTTTTCAGGTTCCAAAACCAGGAGTGATCTCAGCAATATTTGGCTTCACCCTTTCAGACAGCTGGTATGACAATATCACCTCTTGCTCTGGAATTCTTTTGAAGTGTTAGTATAATACTTGATTACTCTAATTGTATAACTCATTTATTCATTTATTTGCCATCCATCAGCTATTATTTTTCCTTCTCTTCATTTATATCCAAACTTTCCTACTTTAGAAGATATGTAGGTCTGACCACTGTGCTGGCATACACCACTGGCAACAAGTGTCTCCCCTTCAGTCCTCCCCCATTCATGTAGAGTAGGGTTGTATAGATATCAAACCGGTAGGCTGTCTTAACCACTAGCCAGTACAGCAGCATTTATTGTCAACTCAAATATTTTACAGATAGGCTGAAGGCACAATATGCTCCATTAGGCTCTTAGGAATTCTGATAGAAATATTTAAAGATACAGTTACGATTTCTTATTTGGGAATCATCCTTGCTTCTGGCACCTGCAGATTCATCTCTGGTCCTGAGCTCTTTGCATCAGGTAGGAAAAAAAAGAAAGTTGAGGTGATATAGATAACAATCTCATAGTCATACCAGTATAGGGTGATGGCTAGCGTCTCATTGGGGGGTTCTTCTTCCTGCTGAGAAGGGTGTAAGCCACCTGAGAAATTAAAGTCTACAATAATTAGTGAAGAACAAAAGACAAGAGTCAGAAAGATATTTTCAAAAACAGAACCCCTGATAGGTTTAGTTCACACAGGAGCTGGAGCCAGACAAAAGAAAATGGCTCCAGTGGTTTATTTAAGGGGATACATAAAAGTCAGGGGTAAGGTTTCAAGGGCGGAGTCCTGCTTCCTGATGTCTTGCAGTCAGCAGGTTGATTGACATCTTGGTAGGTCACACCCATCTCAGAGGGGTTGTGTGGCCATAGCAGGTCACCCCATCTGTCACCCCATCTTCAGTGCTGTATGGGACCTTTGGCAGAGCTTGAATAGGGCTCACTATGAGTCAGGGCAGTCAACCAGAGGATGTGTCCACTGGTCAGTCCCAGACACCAGATTCTTCTATTCAATAGGCTTCGATGTGCTGCAGCCCACATGCAGCCCACAGATGGCTTGCAACATACCAGAATCCTCCTTTGCCGCAGTCTGGCTGGGCACAAATGCCACAGTCTGGCTGGGCACATAATCACGAGCCACCACACAGCTTGTAGATTCAAACAGCAACTCTTTATTCCCGAACTCACACCAGCCGTCTACAAACACGTTCTGGGGAAATCCACGTTCTCTGCCCAAATCCACTCCCACTGGGCTTCTGTCTCCCAAAAAATACTGTCTGAATCTCGTGAGAACTCAAGGGGAACTCAGGCAGCAGGATACGCCCTATTCCCAGCAGGAATAATCTTAAACCTGGAACGCCCTAAACCCGATTATCCTAAACTGGGAACACCCTAATCCGCCCTGGTCCTTGAGCAAGGTCACCTACATGCAATGTCACTGCAAAATGTCCTATTTCCACGAGTCCTTCCACTAAGCAACATGGGGTACGCTGGCAAGGAAATTGTCATACCTACTTGGCTAATGGCTCCCAGCACTCCTTCACTCTGTTTTCCTCGGATCCCCTAGAAGGGTGGTAGAATCTGTCCAGAGGGGACTCTCCCTTGCCACCTACCCCTGCCATGTTGAATGTGAGCATACATTCTTATAAACTCATTCAAACAAGTGCTTCATGACTTTATTTTCCTCCCTTCATATTAGACAACAAATGTTTCAATTATTTGTTCTAATTCCCTATTAAAACATTTCAATTATTTGTTCTAATTCCCTGTGGATAATATGCAACATGATATGTCTATTTGATCTGATATCTCTTTGCCCACTGTTGGATGCTATGGGCTACAAAGTTTGATTCTTGGTCTGAAGATATGTAACTTGGGGGCCCAAATTGGTACAGTACCTTTTTTTCAATCCTTTAATAGTATTTTGAGCATTTGCATCTACCACTGAGTAGTAAAATCTAGCCAAAGTAAGAAACTATTCCTGTCAGGACCCATTTGTAGCTCCTCAGGGATTCCTGCATTGGTTAAATCTAATCCACTTGCCAGCTATGTGGGGGGACTTCCCTCTGGGGCTAGCGGCTGTACCCAGGCCAGTCAGGATCTAAGCAGTCCAGGGTCTTTCCCACTCATTCCTTTAGTAGAAACCTGAGAATACAGGCTATCTGGTCAAAATATCATCTTGTCTATCTTTTATTGTCATATTAGCTATCACAAATA